CTCTGCATGCCGAAGCAAAGGACGAGCCGAAAACAAAAGGTAATGTCACCATTATTTGTTTGTTTTACGCAGGATTAAAAGAAAATTTTTACAAAGTCTGAATAAGTTGTCTTTAAGTATTTCGATTCAAATCTAGATTTCCAATATTATTGAAAGTGTCCTAAAGTCATTCATTGAGTTTAATTACCTTTAGACCTTTTAGATGGATTTCTTCCAGAAATGGCTAGAGTGAAATTTGAATATGAACCTCAACATAATGACGAACTTCGGCTTGGAGAGATTGGACAGCTCATCACTATTATCCGAAAGGATTGCGGGGATGCCGGATGGTTTGAAGGAGAAATCAATGGACGCCGCGGCTTGTTCCCAGACAACTTCGTTGAACTTGTTCAGGTTAGCGTTTTGAATATCTCGTTATTGAAGGTGCTTTATTTTGTTTTCGGAACTTATTGGGAATGTCCATGACTAATAGAAGAGCTACTTTGAAACGCAGTAAAAAATTTTCCAACATCATATTGCTTGAGTCCCCGGCTTTTCCCATAGCCGCTTTTCTACTGTTGTCTTCTTGATCAAGAAATTGCGTAAATTAGTGCAGGAACTCTTACGACCTCATATCACTATGCCATATATTTATTTCAGTCGATGCAGTAATGACTTTAGCTGCATCAGTATCGTTTCGCTCCGTAGTTGTACATGTAGGATACATTAGAGCAAATTGAATCTCAGTCATATCAAAATTGCTCTCTATACATTCAACTTGTAAATTTCTATTTGCCCATGAAGCGAAAATGGGTTAGTCGGGGCATAGTGCATGCCATTTTTTGCTTCTTTCTTTTATTTTGATGTTTGTACTCAAGTGTTAGGTTTGTCAAAAGTCTTGCTAGTAAATTTGGCCATTTTGGTTGTGACTTTTTTCAGTATTATCCGAGAAAGGCATTATATTAGCCAGTTATTGCGTGGAGTTAGAGAAACAACTCAAAAAATTCATAACGGCAATTATATGATGTTCCTTCTGAAGATTTGCATGATTTGAATGATGCTTATCATTTGAGTTGTTCTAATTTCCTGAAGAAGTGACTCTTACTCACATGAAGCATCAGCTATTGAGGCCAGTGTTGTTTAGAGTATATGCTATGGCTATGCCTGGCGCTTCCTGTGAGAATCGCT